GGGTCTCACTATGCAGTTCAGGCTGGCCTTGAACTCACTTATGTGGCCCAGGCTGGCCTCAAACTCACAATGATCCTCCTACCTCAGCCTCCCAAGTGCTGGTATTACAGGTATGCGCCACCACACCCAGATGTTTTTGTTTTTTTGGACAGGGTCTCACTATGCATTTCAGGCCAGCCTTGAACTATGTAGCCCAGGGAGGTCTCAGACTCAAGTGATCCTCCTGTCTCAGCCTGCTGAGTGCTGGGATTACAGGTATGCACAACCACACGTAGTGAAAAGCAAGATCTGACTAGGCTGTTGCCCTCTGGAATTCAAACATGTGGCCAGGCCCTCCCCTCCCATCAGCCACCATACTTTTCTGATCACTCCTCACAGGACTGGGTCTCACAGGTCCACCATCCCCTTCCCATGACTTGCCACCTACCTGGCAGACAGTGCAGCTCCAGCGAGTCTCCACTTCCTGTCTGCACTCACTGCAGGTGTAGGGAACATTGCGGGTGCTCCTCCGTGGCACAGGGGGTAGGCCACTGGGCTCACAGTGAAAAGAGCCTCGAGCGCTCATCCCCGCTTCCTGAGCATCATTCAGATCGCAGGGGACCAGAGGGTCTGGATCAGTGCTGGCTGTCATCCTGCGCAGCATCAGGGCCTGCTGGATGCGGAGCTGCAGCTGTGGTTGCTGGAGCTTCTGCTTGATGGTGAAGCAGTAGGGCACAAAGCAACTGTTGTCCTCTGGGCAGTTCCTGGCATGATACCAGCAGAGGGCAACAAGCTGCTTGCAGACAGCACACCCAGCACTGTTCTTCCGTTTGCAGCCCTTGGTGTGCTGGATAACCCGTTTCATCTTCTTGCAGGAGGGCAGGGAGCAGTTGGCATTGCGGCACTGGCAGGCGTGGAGCAGGGACTGGATGTTGCGCTGGATGCTCAGGCAGCAAGTTTCTCCAGGGTTCTGCGAGGCCCCACCCTGCTCCTTGCTGGTCTCATCATCCAAGCCAAGTCCCAGTTTCTCCATTGGGTGGTCATGGCTTTTCTTGGGATAGCAGGAGACACACAGGATATACTCCTGCAGAAACAGATAAGCGATACAGGCAATGCTCAAAACTTTCTCATTTCAAAGGCTGGGTTAGAAAAGTGCCCTCTTTCTGGAGAAAGGTTTTTACTCTTTAGTCCAGATCTTTCTATTCAACCGTGTGCTGGGGTAACAGGCAGGTAAATCATGCCGGGCTTAAAATCTTTTTTTTGGTACCGGGAATCCAACTCATGACCTTGCACTTGCCAGGCAGGCACCTGTGCTGCTGAGCTATATCCCCGGCCCCAAAATCTCCTTCAAACAGAACAAAAGTAGCACCTTCAACTCTGCTACTTAACATGAAACCAAGTTGTCTCACCCCAATCGCCTATGGAATATGTTTCTCTGTCACCCTTCAGATGGTAGAGACCCACTGGGCCCGTCCTCTCCTTCCCAGGGCCTGGCACCTACCTGGCAGACTGTGCAGCGCCAGTGTGTGTCCACTTGTTCCTTGCACTCAGTGCAGGTATAGACAAACCGGTAGATGGAGTCACTGGGCTCCTCAGAGTGAAGGGAACTCCAGGCGTTTGCCTCTTCTGAGGGTGAGGAACTCATCCTGACCACGGATCAGATCACAGGGAATAAGAGGGTCAGGGTCCCTGATGGAGGCAAGGAGTTGGCAGCAGGCCAGCAATGAGGTGGATCACAAAGCAGACCTGTGGATAAGAGGTTCACTCTGAATCTGGACCACTGCCAGGGCAAAAAGGAGTTGGATTGGGGGACAGCACATGGATGCAGGGTATCTTACAGTGCACCTTCCTCTCCTTTCCTGCTCTCTCGTGTGTGT